AGATGTACTGATAATATTTACACAATGTTTCTGGAACTGTAAATATTCTAGGACTTATAAAATTCCCAATTTAAAAGTCACTTGAAGAATTGGAAAGCAAATTATCACAGTTTAAAAAAACAACAGCCCACCAATCTGAAAATATATAGACATAATAGAGACAAAAGCAAGAAGACAAAAGTCAGAGATGATGTTGTTGTTAATGTGCCATTAAGTCAACTACAATTCATAGCAACCCTTAGCACAATAGCTCTGAACTCTCTCCTCTCCTGAGCCAATTTTATTGTCTCTGACACACTACCTTCTTACCTCAACTACTGTATCAATCCATCTCATCGGGGTCTTCCTCTCCTGCACTATCCCACTACTTTTCCAAGCATGATTTCCTTCTCCAAGGACTGGTCCTTCCTGGAAACATGCCCAAAGTCTCTCAGACACGGCCTCAAAACCCTTGCCTCTGAAGAGCAACTTGGCTTCACCTTCTCCAGGACAGTCCTATTTGTTCTCTTGGCAGTCTTTGGTATGTTCAATACTCTTCTCCAGCACAGCAACTCGAAGGCATCAATTCTCCTTCTATCATCCTTAGTATTTGCCCAGCTCTCTGATGCATAGCAAAAAATTATAAAGAGCATGGTCTGGATCAGGCACAGCTTAGGCTCTAGACTAACATCATTGCTCTTCACTGTGGAGGTCCTTGACAGCAGATTCTCCTAATGTAGTTTGTCTTTGGATTTCCTGACCACTAGTACCAAGAATGTTGATTGTGAACCTGAGCAAGCTGAAGTTTTTAACAATCTCAATCTCTTCTCCTAACATGGTACTGTCAATTGGTCCAGTGGTAAGAATCACTGTTTTCTTAATGTTGAGCTTCAGTCCATTTTGAGGACTACTGTTCTTGACCATCTGCAGCAAATGCTTCAGGTCCTCCTCAGTTCCAGCCAGCAAGGTTGTGTTATCTGCATAACGCAGATTGTTGATGAATCTTTTTCCAAGTCTGATGCTATATTCTTCCTCATAAAGTGCAGCCTCCCAAATGATCTATTTCACACATAGATTGCAAAGGTGCATCCTTGACTCACTTCTTTCCTGGTTTTGAACCATGCAACATTTCCTTGCTTTGTTCTGAAAACTGCTTCCTGGTCTGTCTATAGGTTTTGCATTGTTAATGCACAGATAATGCTTATTTATCCAACTTGGGTGGGCAAAAAATAATACCAATGGCCAGAAATAATAACAACAGAAGAATGCTTTTCTGAAAAAGAAAATGCTTGAAACATCACACTAAAAAATCTCAAAACCTGTAGGCAGGAAAACAATATAGGGTACACATCTAGTAAATTTCATCTGATGAAATTTCTGTTTTTTGCAGATGGAGACTTGTTTTATTGAATGATTGGTTTATACAGCCACCAAAGCCGCTCTGTATGGAGTGGACTTTATTTAGAGGAGGAGCTTTATTGCATGATCTCTTTCTCCTTGGACAGAACCTTACTCTCTTCTTCCTTGGTCAGGATGTGTTCCTCACACTGCTGTATGCTTCCCTGGGCCCCAGATTGAGCAACAAAGAGCTTCTCAGTAGGCCCTGTCTGCTCCCAGGTCTTGTACGTGTATCACGAGAATTCACTTGTTCTTGTGCACATTCGCCTTTGCTCTCAGGTAAGCTATAATACATGGTGATCAATCTCCTTAGAGTCACGGCATCTTTTGAGCAGCTGGCACAGAATCCTCATCCTCTTTATCCAAGTCATCTTGGGCATTTGAGCAGTGGTACCTTTTTGCTTGCCTATGCCCATGTTCCTAACCCTTCCAGAAGGCTCAGGCATTTTTTCAGTGTCAATCCTAAGTTTTAATATGTTAACTTCCCTCACAAACACCATAATCATTGAGTATGGCTCTGTGAGGTCTGTGTAGCTGTGTAGCTATTGCAACGAATTTCAGACCCAGCAGAGTAGTATGATTGGTATTGGAATTAATAGAAATAGGTGGAGAACATATCATATTGCATGGGAATTGGTTTTTATTGTAAATGCTGCTGCTGGTCACAGTCCCTTTCTGTGGAGTTAGCAGAGTCCAGTTATGGTGATCTACATGTTTCCATCTCTCTTCTTATATTCTGTGTTAATCTGTTCTGAGTTAGGATCCCTAGGCTTTCAAAGTGGAGACTATTCATTATGTTCCATTCACTATGAATCGTCCTTTAGGATAATGATTTTATTTTGATTAGGAGTCACTGAGAAATAGTTTTGTTAGCAAGCAAAAAAAAGGGGGGGGAAGAAAATAAATGTAAAGTAATAAAAATTAACAAAAGTGGTAATGTTCCATTTAGTCACTTGGCAAAGAGCCAGTTTGCTGGTGACACCGTATCTGGTGAAATAAATGCACAAGATGTAAAAGATCCTCTGAAATTTGTTCATATCCTTTAATAATTTTCTTTTGGGAATCTCCTTTAGCAAAATAATCTTTAAGAAGAAAAATATGTAAGTCATAAGGGCAAAAGGAACCACTTGAGGATTTGGCCTGAAGGGAATTGAACTGCTAACCCAAAGGCCACTCCTCAGGTGACTTAAGTCCATTCGCTGCTCCCAAAGAGGAAGATGAGCCGTCTCCTGCTGCACCTGCACAGCCTCAGAAGCCCAGCAAAAGGTCCGTTCAGAGTCATTTCCAACTGGATGGCAAGGTCCTGTGAATGGGATAGACAAGCTCAAAGTGTGACCTGTAGATGAATGGGTAAGTGGTGGCTGCTAGTCTGAAGGCAGGAGGTTCAAATCTACTAGCTGTTCCACAAGAGAAAGATGGGCTTGTGCTTATGCTTTGTGCTTCACACTATTGTTCATTCACGTTGTGCGATTTGCCTCTGAAAACCTGCTGAAGGGTTAACTATGGTTCAGTTCTGACTCAGTGATATATAACAACAACAAATATATATATAATTTGCTTCAAGCCATACTATTTTTAATTGCCTCATAGGTATGTGAAAGGTGGATAATTATTAAGGGAAACCAAAGACAAATTAACATCTTTAAATTTTATATAGGCGAAGAATACCAGATATTCCCTGGACTGCCAGACAAATGAATAAATCTGACTTGAGAGAAGTACTTTGGAAACATTATCAGGTGGAATGATTACATGGTGCTTGGTCAAGTGACGGTCAACAAAGAGAGGAAGACCCTCAATGAGCTGGATTAAAAGGGTGGCTGCAAGAGTCGTCTCGGGCAGTAATGACAGGATGGCACTGGACCGGGCAGTGCTTCGTTCTGTTCTGCCACAGATTCTACTGTATCTGTCATGGATTGAATTGAATTTCCCTAAAATATGTATTTACTTGGCTGGTTTATGATTCTTAGGATTTTGAATGTAATAATGTAATGTCACAATTATGTAATGATCTTCCAGGATGTGTTACGCTAATAAATTGTGATTGGATAATTGTTTGGGGTTTTTTTTTCTTCTTTTCTCCATCTATCATGATGTTGCCTACAGGTCCAATGGTGATGAGTTTTTAAAAAATGTTTATGTTGGTTTGCTTACAAAGTTTGTATGCATTGTGCTTCACAGTATCCTTCATTCAGGTTGTGTTTCATACATTCATTCCCATTCATTATATTTTATAAAATTAATCAACATTGAAATATGCCCACCATTGCCCTGTCTTTCCAGATCCTCCGCTGAATGGGTCTTTCCCATTTCCATTCCCATCCCCTTCCCTTCATCCATCAAATTGTGACTCCTTTGATTTCTCCCCTGCCCATCCTCACCCCTCTGCTTCTACCCTACCCCCTTTGATCCAAATACACATTTTACTAGTTATCTTTATTTTTTTAAGTATTTTTAAAAATTTTATTTTGTGTGCGTGTACCGTCAAATCAGATCTGACTGGTACAGGAGGATATTGCGCCTCCTTCTCCCGCAGAGCGTCTGGTGGATTCGAACCGTGTTCCTCTGGGATTGCAGTGCAGCTTCTTGCCACTAGGCCACCAGAGCTCCCCTCTCTAGTTATATTTATATTTCTACAATAATGGTCTTATTCGTTATTTGTCCTTATGGGACTAATTTAGTTCATTCAGCATAATGCTCTCCAGTGCCTCCCATGTTATGTAGCAATTGTTGAAAAAAAAATTGATTATCGGATCTGTTTTAAAGGGAGTGTTCCTGCTGTTTGGCCTGAAATATCTTTTCTCTATAAGAGATAAAAGCTGAGAAAAAAGAGCAGAAAGGAACCTTAGTACCGCCAAAAAAGAAGAGCCGGAAGCAGAGTGTGTCATTCTGTGGATCCAGGTCCCTCTGACATGAGATTTCCAAGATCATCTGGCAAACAGATGCGGAAAGGAGACAAGGACCTTCCCCCAGAGACAACAGAGAAAGGGGGCCTTTCCCTACAGTTAATACTCTAAATTCAGCCATCTAGTCTCCTGAACTACGGAGACTAAATTTCTTTGTGAAAGCCATTCATTTAATGTTACTTCTGTTATAGCAGCCCTAAGTAAGTAAGACAACACCTAACAACAATGAATATTGAAATAATCTCTGGGATGATTGTTGAGGTCTATGTTAAACCCAGAAATATTCAAAGGAAAGTAAATTTAAAGAGGAAAGAAGAGTAGAAGGTAGTATTGATGCAATTATAGAACAATGCACTCAAGTCATTAATGAGTTAGAAAGAACAGTTCTCGGCCGACTTGAATGATAATGCCATGTTAAGCAATGACGAGAAAGCTGCCACAAGTCGGCAAATGAGAGTCCAAGATGCACTGTGGGCTTCCTCCGAGTCCCTTGTAGTTTCTGACTCGGGTGGACAGTGGATGGGAGGTGGACGTCCCGGTTGAACGGCATTCGGCCGACTGACAGCCAGGGGGCGCTCCAGGCACGTTCCCAGGTCCCCGGGCGAGTCTGCAGGCCGCTTGTGTCCCGCCCGCCACCAGGGGGCGCCGCAGGCTGCCCGGCGCTCTGCTCGCGGGTCGGGGCCTGGGAGAGCCGGCGCAGGGAGCGGCGGAGGCCGGGGGTGGGGCGGCCATGGACCGGTTCTTGTGGACCAGCGGCCTCCTGGAGATCAACGAGACCCTAGTGATCCAGCAGCGCGGGGTGCGCATCTACGACGGCGAGGAGAAGGTACGGCGGCGGCCTGCACGCCCTGGGCCTCCAGGAGAGCCTGGCGGAAGGGGGCTCTCCCGGCGGCCGCGCGGCCCAGCTCCGCCCGGGGCCCGGGCGCCTGC